ATTTAACATAAGATAGATATACATGTTTCCTTCAAAAAAACACATACCACTATAAAATCATTAGTCATCACATTCAACGCTCTCCATCTGAATTTAAAAGTTTTTTTTTTATACCAATAATCGGTGGTTGTATTTTAGCTCTTTAATTTACAATGAATCATTTAAAAACAACGACAGAAAAAGGTAGAKGTGTTACGCRGTAACTCGTAAATTTACCCGAGCCTGCATGATTTATTTCAACTGATAGGATTAGTAAAGAACAATATAGCTCAATCTTAATCCAATGATGGACCGTACTCCAACTGTATGATGGGCAATTTGTTTATTTTATAGTGAATTATATTTAAAAATGTCAAAAAAAATCTTCTTGAAAACATCCACAGTAATATATTATAATGTATTTTAAATCAACCGTGACGTACCTGCTCTGATAATTCCTGAGTGAATTATTTATACTTAAATAAAACAAAAATTTTTAAGCGTAACATTTTAATTACATTTATRAAAGTAATTATAGTGACAACTGATAAGTGATTAATGTTTACTTTAAGATCTCCAAAAAATCTCCGACTTCATAATATAGGTACACTGTGCAGTAATCAGAAAAAAAAAATGACAAATCTTCTCGTTGAAAAGTACTTGAATAGTTCGATTTATYCAAATTTTAATGATCATAAGATTTATTGCAGTATGGACAAGTAATGGTATTTAAAGCATATAATTACCAATGTAGCTAATCTACTAATAATTCAAGACATGAAACTAACAATTAATAACTTAATGCTAATAGTTCTTTAATGATTAGTATTGTAATGGAATTAGACTCCTAAAGGGTGTTAACATTATTTGAATAAAATGTTTAAACATTTCATTTATTTATTCATTACATAGAACATTGTATAGTTATAATTAATAAGATTACGATTTTAATTTCATTTTCCTAGTGCCAAATCAGTTGTTAAATTATAGTATATAAAATCATCAAAACATACTAAATATATAGAATTTAAAAAAATATCAAAATAAACGAAATCAAAAATKATTTAACATAACATTGTAATAATTTTATATGCATTTCAATGTTGGAATAAGAGTTAAAATATGTATAATATATATATGATGTTTATATAGTACGTATATTATACTAGCTGTAAAATTGTATTACTAGACCCCTTACATTTTTTTTTTTAAATCACTATAAAAATTGCACCAATCATATATTATAATTTCTATTTTGTGCATAGAAAATTATGATTTAAGTAGTGATTTAATAGTGGAATGTTCCAAGGTTCTACGATTAATATTTATTAAATTAAAAACATGATATACCAATAATCGTTCAATAATCATTGTATTTAACCTATTATATAGCCATAAATATGATGAACATTCCATCCCACATTATCCTATAAACTTCAAAATGTCACCAAATAGGAAGTTGCAAATCAAGTTTGGTTATTTGCAAATCCGTTATTCTAATTTAGTTTTTTGCAGAATGGAGGATAATTTAAATTATAAGCAACATGCATCAAACATCATACTTACAAAGAAAATACAAAATATCATCTTCAAAAAAAAAAAAATCTGTGCAAGTGAATATTATTTTTCTGTGTCAAATCTAAGGTCAATTTGATGGTTGTGATCAATTTGAATTCAATTAATCGTTAATCATCTTATTATCTGTTTTTTTTCTAATCGTTATCTTGTTATAAAAGTCAAAAATAAAAATTGTAAATACTTTCTCTAGATATAGATAGCCTACTGTTGGCTAGGAATGTCTTATAAAATAAAATAAATTTATAATTTAAAAAAATATTACTAAAAACTATTTTGATCGATA